GCCTTGCCCTCCAGCAGCAGCTTGCCCCCTTTGTTCTCTCAGCTGTGGGAACAGCGTGCCTGCAGGTTCCCAGTCACCACATGCAGGAGCTCTCTCTCTGCTCAGCCCCTCACTGAGCCTGCAGCTACCTGGGTAGGACCTGGGGTGGCAGGAGAAGTCCCTGAGTGAAGCTTGCTGTCTGCTTTTAGTCCCTGGGCTCCTGGCACTGCTGCCTTCTGGGCAGCAAGTGTGTTCAGCACCTGTGAGAAGATCTCTGTATCTGTGAAGAAACTGCTGCCACGTCCCTGTGTTGTAGCTGGCTGGTCTCTCGGGAGTTGTTTTGTTGTGGCCATGAGTAACCCTGGGCAAACAGGTTGCCAGGCTGGACTTTTGAGGCTTTGCTGCCTTCTCTGCCTGTGTTCCCCTTGCCCATGTCAGCATCTGAACATGCCCCAGGATGGGTTTTATTGTTCACAGGGGCCAGCCTCTGAGCCCACCTTGCAATAATAGTCCAGGACCCTGTCCAGCTCCAGTGCTGCTCCTCAGGCCGGGAGTGAGGGCAGCGAGGCTGGAGAGTGCTCACCCTCCTCCGGGTGGCTGTGCATCACCCTTGGCAGCGAGCGGCAGCCGCGAGGCTGGGGACGAAGCCCCTCTCCTGCCAGCAGCTTCCAGCCTGGCACCTGGCCTCAGCCTGATGGACACAAAGCCCACCCTGCTTGGGGTCTGCTTCCACCTCTGCTCTGGCGGGGCCTGGGATGTCATCAGTGGAGAGGGGCTGTGACTGTCCCCCCCCCAGTCCCTGGGTGGTGGCACTGCCCTGACCGCGTGGTTTGGGGTGTCACCACGGCTGCCTGGGCCTTCCTAGTGCCTGATGTCTTTCTCCAGGATGACCCGTAGCTGAGCTGGGCCCTGACCCAAGCTGAACATCCTGCACCCAGGGGTGCCGGCGGGTCCTCCCTGTCTGTGGACGGGTGCTGGGCCAACCTTTGAGTCTCTCTTTGAAGTCTGTGGGGATCTTATTATACCTGATATGTGCAAAGGCTGGGGCTGGCCGCAGACTCTGCTGTTGCAGCAGGAGCAGGGGATGGAGGCTGCGCCAGCGCGGCCGGGGTCAGTGCAGCAGCCAGGGCTGAGCCGGGGCTGCCGGTCGGGCAGAGTGGCTGCAGCAGTGTGGGCTGGGAAACCTGGTGTGGTTGCTGTGACTGAAAAGGCGAGGGCTGAGGTACAGGCAGCCGCCTGCCCATTTCTTCCCAAGGGCAGACAGTCAGTGTGTCGACCAGCCCCTCGAAGAGCGGAGTGGGCAGCTGCCTGCACCCTGCCTTGCTGCTGCCCGCCCAGGGGCCCTCAGTGCTTCTCGGGGGTGGGAAGAGGGTGGCAGGACCCCTCCTTTGCGCAAGCCCCCTTCCAGCCTGTCCCCAGGGATGGATCAAGCCCTGTGTTGCCACTCTCACCCTGTTGCCTTAGGAGGAGAGAAAAGCCTCGCAGAGCCCGAGCCTGACCCCACCCGTAGCAGCTCTGCACAGCCAGGCCCGGGGGGGCCCCCAGCCCCACTGAGGCTGGGAAAGGCCTGGAGAGGGGGAGGAACAAACAGCTCTGCTCATTTAGCGGTTGGGAATTAAGAGTACTAAATGGGGGGGGGCGGGACCTTGGTCTGAGTTGATGTTTTTGCTCTTGGGGTGCCTGACACCCACTGCCTGCAGTGGGGCTGGGTGGCTCTGGCCAAGGAGTGCTGGGCGTGGTGCCTGGGGAGATGCTGGCTCAGCTGGGGGTCTGGGCTGCTTTCAGGAGGTGAGTGCTGGTCCTCCAGCCCCAGCAGGTGCCGGGAAGGTAGGTGGGAGAGTCCATGCTGTGAGCAGAGATCGGGCTGATCCCTTCCAGCCTGCAGAAGGGACACGGGCTGGCCAGCCCCTGTGACAGAAGCTTTACTTGCTGCGGTGTTTCCCTTCCCTCGCCGTGTGGCTGAGGAGAGGCAGGTGTGGTGCTGACAATGCTGTCTGGTCCTTTTTTACTTTCTAGCAGCTCTCGAGCTTGCAGGGTTAATTGTAGTGCGTGTCCCTTGCAGGACCCTGTGTGCTGGACTTTCCTGGGCACAACTCTGCCAGCCTGGCTGGCATGCAGACATGTGGCACAAGCCACTGCTGTTTTTTGGGGGGGTTTTGTTTGGTTTTGCTTTTTTTCCCTTTGGACCTCAAGCTATCAGAGAACACCCATCTCAGCCTGGCACTGTGAAGTAAGTTTTTTTTCCTTGAGGATGTAGTATGGTCAAAACCACTAATAAAAGCAGTTGGCAGCGCATCATTGTTTTATAATCCATGGGCTGCTGGGGCTCCAGCACCACATGGGGTGGAAGAGGAGCAGGGGCAGGATCACCTTGGCCTGGGGGGTTATTTCCATGCTGGGAGCTTTCCCCAGCTGCAGTAATGCTGCAGCCGGGGGGTGGGGGCTCTGCCCAGCACCAGTGTGGCGGCTTCCAAGCAAGGGGTGCTGGAGCCAGCAGGGAGGGAGCTCCTGGGGGTGATGTGGCCCCAGCCTGGCTGCTGGAGCTTCAAACACACACAGGGCTGCTGGGGGCAGGTGCGGCAGTGCTGGGGCAGCTTCACCAGCAGCAGCCAAGGGGAGCTGAAGAACAACAGGAAGGGCAAATCCAACACCTGCCACTCATGTTCCTGGGTGCTGGCTAATAGAGCAGCTGCTGAGCTCCTCTAGGACAGGCTGGGTGTTCTCAGCTGTTGCCCAGTGCCAGAGCTGCTCCACTGTCCCTGCAGGAGGCCCCATCCTCCCCCTCCAGAGCTGTAGCACCAACAGAGGGACTAAACCCATGCTGGGGAGCAGCAGCCCAGCTGCCTCTGCATGCATGTCCATAAAAGAGATGAGGGGAACCCAAGGCAGCCCATCCTTTCCTGGGAGCAGCCAGGCCCACTTCACACAGCTGTTGCACCATGCACCAAGATGGCAAAAGGCGGCAAGGGGACAGTGGCTTTAGCACAGGAATTCCTACCAGCAGCATAGGGCCAGCCCCAGTGCTTGTTCCCCACTTCCTTACCTGGCCAGTGCCTGTTAGTGCTTGGAAAAAATAGAAATCCAGGAGGGACAAGGAGAAGCCAGGATGCTCCAGCCCCTGGACTGTCCTGGAGCCTGCAGCACTTGCCTTGGCAGAGAAGAGCTTTCCTGAGGCTGCCATGAAGTGCTGCTCCCCTTGTGCAGGGCAGTCCCATCCTCCCTGAGGGCAAAGATTTCAGCAGTTCTCTGCCTCTCGTTTCACAGCTTTCTGCCTGTGCTCCACAGCCCAAGGCAGTCAGCTATTTCTGCAGTGCCTCAGCAGTTGTAGGCACAGCAGTTAAGATGCTTCTGGACACTTTCTGCTTCAGTCAAAGAACAGCACTCAGAAAAACAAACTCACATTGCAGAGATGCTTTAGCAGAATATTTATTCAATGCCATAGTGAAGAGCAAAACTCAGTACAAACATAAACCCTCAGTGCCTTGCTCACTACTACACCAAGCCAAGGGAAAAGAGATCCCACAGTCTTGGGGGAAGAGGGAGGAAGGCAGAGGCTGTTCCTTTGCTGTGTGACTGAACAGAGAACTGCATGTGGATCCCATGTGCACACACATGAAAAATGACAGAAAACCTGAGTAGAGGGATTTTGGATAAAGCCATGGGCACCTGCTGGGGTGCAGCAGAACAAGGGTACAGACCCTCCTGCCAAGGGCTGCAGGAATTAAAGCCATTAGTGCATATCAAGACAGTTATCTGCTGCCTTCTTAACTCTATTTGCAACCCAAAGCTGTGAGTGGCACAGACAACTGCCTCCGGTGCTCCCAAAACACCG